ATAAAGCGGGGAACACGTGCAAATGCAAATGTTGCCTTTCATCCTCACATTTTCAATGCCCCCCTCTATCTGTGTGTGAGGACCCTCATTCAGGAGCCAGCGACAGTGGTGTGTTTGTGTCACCGCGAGTGTGCTCCTGAGTTCCTGTGTGTGTCTGTGTGCCTTTGCTGGACGTGTGTGTCAGCAGCTCCAGCCTCCCACGCTCTCCTCACAGAGGATGCTCGTCTCTGTGCCAGACAGGACAGCGCACTTTAAAGTCATCACAGCGGCACGGCCGTCCTCCAATTTGCTTCATGCAGTTGAGACGGTCTAATTCTCCAGAGCCTTGTTCTAGGTGGCAGATAACAGTAGTCAGCTTAATTTCAGCAATAGTTGTTTATAGGGAAGAATGGATTAACTGCTGCAGACCGAGGAGAGACGCCCAACAGGGAATCATTTGAGATTCAATAGACTGGTTGTAATCAGCCACAGAGGAGCGCTGTTGGCTGCCGGGTGTTGACTGTGGATGGCCACGGCTTCTTGACTTGTTTTAATTAATCTGTATTTTGGGCTCACGGAGAGAACAATAAGAAGACGCTTTTTTATCTAGACAACTTTTCTTAGTGAAGATCGAGGTTGTTTTTTTTTTTTTTTTGCTCTTTTGGAACCTTTTCCTGTCTTACAATGAGGGAGTGGAGAATGATGGAGAGGCTGGAGGACAGGAGTTCAAATCCTATTTCCCAGCTCCTCAGCTCTCTCGCTTTACCACACTACCAGCGGGTATGTTTGAATAATTTAACCAGATACTAAATGTAACTGTTAATGAGGCTTTGATGATTGCATTGATTCACACATGTTGACAATTTTAGCCACTGACTGGTAAAAAAAAAAGTTTTCTAAGTACACGTACCATTGGTATCAATGTTCAGTTGTTTTTTTAAGTGTTTGTTAGAGATATTATTGCAGCCGTTCTGTGGTTTTCTGTTAAAGACCAGGTTTATGACAGTAATGGAAACAGCTGAGAACATGACTAATTCCACCTCAGAGAGTCGGAGTCATATTGTCAGAGAAATGTTTTTTTTTTCAGCTGTTCTGAGTCACCACTGTCAGAGCATCATCTGCTCATCCTACTGCATAATACTGCCAGACTACCAGTCCTACCAGTTGAAACAGGATGTTGTGTGGGTTCCTATAGAGTCAGGGTCAGACAATGACCAATGTGTGATGCTGATTTTTTTTCTACAATATTTTAATCAAAAAATATTTCACATAAAACACTTTTCTGAGCTTAAACTAACCGTCTGAACATTCCTCATAAGACGCGACATTGTGTTATTTCCTCATGAATGCAATACAGGGAGCAAACAAACACAAAAAGACAATTAATAATAACTTTTTAATCAAAAGAGTTCAGTTCAGTCCATCTTTTGTTCTGCTTCAGCTATCTGGGAATGTCTGTGTGTGATCAGAGTTATCAACAAGACGAGAAACATTCCAACATTCTCTTGAAATGATATGAACTTCATCTTTTTCTGTGAAGCCTTACGTACTGTAAGGTATGTATCATGAAGGAGTTTTCTCACCCTCCTCTTCTGTCCTCCTTCTATTGCAGCTGTCCGGTGGCTGTGAGTTGACTGTGGTAATCCACGACTTTGTGGCCAGTAATGGCAGCAGCAGTGGGGAGCTGACGGTGCGCAGAGGTCAGACCGTGGAGGTCCTGGAGCGACTCCACGATAAGCCCGACTGGTGCCTGGTGCGGACCACAGATCGCTCTCCAGCTCAGGAGGGCATCGTCCCCTGCTCCATGCTCTGCATCGCTCACTCCAGGTCCTCCATGGAGATGGAGGGTCTCTTCAACCACAAAGGTATGTTTCCTGTTTACTTCTTCTTCTTCAGCTGCAGTGCAACTAAAAGTCAGTTTGTCTGTTTGTTAAATGTACAGAAAGTTACCAGTGGGCTGTTCAGTCTTTTTATGTTACTGTATCATAGAAGCTGATGATGTGGATGTAAAGAGAGAAGAGAATGTGTTTGCAAACATAGCATTAGTGACCTGTGGAACCTTTCCTCATTAGTCATCTGCCCAGAAAAACACATGTGTATTTTTAGGTGTTGCTATGCGACTGTAACAAGTTCACTTGAAGCGCAGCGCTCTTTTAATTATCTCAAATTGAATTTAACCTTTAAATTCTGTGCGTGGTAACATCCACGAATCTGTCTCATCGTCACAGATCTTCATTCAGTCCGACACATGCGGTCTCACGTCCGTCTACTGCACGGTCTCTGCGTCTGTTTCATTCACACACTGCCTCACCAGAAGGAGTCACTCATGTGGTTCCAATAGTTTTTTATGACGCAGCTTTAGCTGTGTTTGCAAAAACAACGATTAATTATCTGATTGTTAAATTGGGCTGTGTGACCTCGCTGGCTTGTTTATTAAAACCACCAGTGAAACAGTCAGCATTAACTCCATACAGTGACTTCAAATCCAGAGCACAAGTTCCTGTTCATAAATGTTGGGTTGTTGTTGAACCAGTGTTTCTAAAACAAACATTTATCTCCCACTTTATTTGACTTTATGTAGTTTCAACTACATTTTTTAATTGAAACACTTAATTGTCCTTTTTTAAAATCCTCCTTTCTCTTGAGGTTGCAGACCATAATTCTAGAAATACAGCTTTAAAACAGTAATTATCAAGGACTGGGTCAGGACTGGGGTACAACAAGGAGCGGTGACATTCTTACCCTAGCGTGTTTTTAACCCTTTACTATGTGTCGTCTCCGTCCGCTCACAGAGGATACTGTCTTTTTTTTCTTTGTTGTTCCTTCATATGCCTCGGTCCTCTGTTGCTGTTTGTTTCTGTCTGTTGAAAGAAACAGATTAAAATCTGTCTTTCACTACCACAGTCAATGTGGTAAAAAAAATGAAAAGAAAAAAAATGTGTTGCTAAGGAGCAATTAATAGCATTTCTGGATTTTTGTTAGGCTTTTTGTGTTTAATGACTAACCATGAAGGCACTTTGTCCAGAGTTGTGGAAGTGTGTCAGTTCCGAGGATCAGAGTGTTGTCCTGCTGTGTGATAATTGAAGGTTTCCCTGGTGCTGATGTCTGTGCGTGAAAGAACAGAGTAGAGTCAAAGGAAGATAACGGCTTTTAAGGATCCAAAGATGTGCAATGTTTTATTTCTTTTTGGACTTACGTTGTGTTTATATTTTATTTTCATACCCCATTTTTTAACAGTTTCTAAAAGTGAATAAACTGCAACAACAGCAGTCCTCATTTCCTAAATAACTCCAAAAACTAATTGTGTGTAATTAAACCAAATGATGTTAAGCGTATAGTTTGTGCTCAGTGCTGGTTATAGCTGGTTCACTTGAACCAGCAGACGGTCCCTGTGTCATCCTTTACATCCCTTTAAATTAAACTGTTTTGTGCAGTTACAAAACTTAATTCCCAAAGTGCTGAGATTCTCATTTAATGACAGTTTAAATAGATAGAATCTACAGGGAGCAGAGTAAACACAGGCTGGTGTGTGTGTGTGTGTTTGCATCAGGGTGCGGGTTGTTACAGGAAGGAGTGTGTTTAAAGACAGACACACACACACACACACACACATACTTAAAGAGGCAGTTAGACAGAGTTTTCCTTGTGCTCCTGTGTTGCACAGCTGCTCCTGTTTGAGCAAATAACTCAAAATGAAATAAATAAAAATGTTTGCACTAAATCATTTATTTAATATGTTTTGCTCTTTGGTACTGAATTCCAAACTCTTTGATTTTCTTATCTTTTTAACTGAATATTTATAGTTTGCAGTTTTCTGTTGTATAACTCTGTCTTTATGTGTTCTAAGCTGCAGTCTAACGCCTTTAGTTCTCCTCCAGCCCACACAAACTGAGTAGGTGCCTCTACAGGAAAAAAAAAAGCGTATTACAGCATTTATGTTCTGCATGACTTAAGACGTCCCTTTGGAACGGCTGAGGCACAGCGGAGGCTTGCCCAATATCCTCACAGCGGCCCACTCACTGGGAGGGAGGAGAGAGGGAGGGGAAAGAGAGAGACAGAGAGAAAGAGAGAGAGGGAGGGAGGGGGGCGGGAGGGAGATACAAGGAGGAAACAGAGAGAGATGCATTTGACTTGATCCTGTCCTTCCATAAGGAAGAACTTTTCACACCTTTTTTAAACTGGAGTTTCAGCAACAGAAGTCAGTATTCAGTAATCTTGGTCTGGTGTCTCTAGCTGAGGAGAGGATGTGAAGGGATAGTCCAGAATTCCAGAGGAATTTAACCTGACTGACATGGCTCATGGAATTGGATCCTTAGTTTCTCTAACCCCATTTTGCACTATGGATTTAGCAGGGTTTTCTGTGAAAACTGCAAGTTCTGGCTGCTGGATCTGGGTAGGTCCATCGTCATGACAACAAGATCTACTTCTGTCCAAGCTAGATGAAGGGCTTGTTTTTGTAAATATTATTTAACAATTAGATTAATTGTTATTTTTCTATCTTGAAAGACTTAAATAACATTAAATTAAATGTATTATTTTATTACTAGTTGAGTTAAAACATGTCTGAAAAAAATACGAGGGTCGAGGTTGTGTACCTCTGATATTAAGGCATAAAATTATTTTATTTTATATTAATTACTTGATCATTTCTGTTTATTTAAACTCAGAAACTGTTTTAATGTGACAGTTTTAAATTATTATTATTGTATATTTTCCACTCAGTTTGCTTGTTTTGTGTCCTACGGCTGATCCTTCTTTCTGGGCTTAATGTACACCTGTCCTTCCCAGAGTGGATTATGTTGTGGATTATTTATGTCAGTAAAAGTAATTTAGTCAATGTATCTCTAGGTGATGAAATATTAAACCTGCTGTGATGAGATTATAGCTTTGAGATGATCTGTGCATCAAGTCTGGTTGTGGCTGCACAGATGGCAGAGGTTGTCACTGTGTGAAGCCACAGTGACAGTGGGAATGATTTAGTCACAAGGAAAAATAGGCAGACAAAGACCAGTCGCAGCAACACAAGTATCACTGAATGTTCTGACCAAGTGCTTCAACCAATAGAAATATCCCATTAGTTAAAGTCAGTGTGTGTGGTGGGTGGTCTCTTTAGTCTGCATCTCCCATCCCAT